ATACAGTGTGGAATCTATTGATTAGTGAATATCGAGGTAGCAAGCCACCACAACTGTTACGGGGGTTGAGAGAAGGGAAGATTTAAGATATAAAAGGAAAAAGAGGGCCCTAGCTTTTATACAATGTAAAGCTATTTGGGGGAAGTTAAGGCTTAAAAAGATAATTGACATTTCTAGTAGATTAGTGATATCTGAAATTGTGATACAGTAAAAGAAAAAAGTTTTGGACTTTGAGTTTAAAAAGACTGAGTTCATTTCCTGGGTCTGACATTTATGGGCTGTGTGATACTGGTTAATTCACTTACCCCGTCTGAGAACTTATGTGCCTAATATGAAAATGAATATGATAAATCCTATTCCCTGGGGTAATGAAAATTAAGTACATTAATATATGTGAAAATACTTTTAAATATTTACCCCCAAAATAACAATTATCTTATGAAAATTTATATAAAGACAATGAATTTCAGAGCTGTCTCAATTCCTTTTTTAAAAAAGAATTTTTGTGACTAACAATTGTGAATATTGCTAAGTCATGGAAACAACCCAAATGTCCATGAACAGATGAATGGATAGAAAAACTGTGGCACATATACTCTATGGAGTACTATTCAGCCATAAAAAACAAAACCCTGGCTTTTGACAGAAAGTGGATGAATATGGAAGATTTACTGCTGAGTGAAGCAAACCAGGCTATGAAGGAGAGGCATTGTATATTCCCACTTAATATATATCAAGTGTCTGTACTCTATGACCGAAACTAATTGACTAAAGGATAAAGAAACACAGTATATAGATGTAAATACCAGATATAGTGTGTGTGAAAGAGGAGGGTCTGAGGAAGGCCATTTAGAAGAAAAATAGGGAGGCAAAGCATTAAAGACACAAAGAAATGTAGTATTATCTGTTGAAGATATTTTGTGGTTTTATCAAATGTACTAGGGAGAAATGTTCTGTTGAAATATCCATTTTGTAAGCCAAATAATAATGTGATTGAATGTATAAAAGAAAATGAAATAAAAAAGAATTATTTAAGTTAATTTAATTTATGATTTTTATTATTTTAATTTGACCAGAGATAGAGAAAGAGAGAGAAAATGAGAAAGCAAGTCGCTAGGGTCTGGGACTCAAACCATAGTAGGCCATGTCAGAGGCAAACACCTTAACCACCACAACTCCTGTTTCCTTTTTTTTTTTTTTTTGGAGAGGTTTTTGCTATAGGGCATGTGCACTCGCCAGACAGACAGAGAGAGACAGAGAGATAGAAAGCAGGAAATCACCCCCCAGGGGGGATGGCCACGCCGCAATCCCTTCTCCTCCATTCTCCTCTAGGGATCTTGGGCACACACGCACATGCGCCCGGTGTGAGTTTAAGCCACTGGGTCCAGGACTCGAACCGCGATCGACTATGTGGGAGTCCAGCGACATAACCATTACGCTAACTGCTGGTCCCCCTGTTTCCTTTTAAAAAGTAGTTGAGGGGCAGCATGTGGCATGGTGGTTAAGGTGGCTGGGTCCCAAATGGTCAACTATGTAGTTGAATGAGCCAATATACAGTGTATTCTGGATGGAAAATCTCATTTTATATACTGTAATGATGTACAGTGAATGAATGTAAATAAATAAATGTAAAATAAATTTAAAAAAGGAAAAAAGAATAAATTAGTAAGAAAAGAAATAATTACAAAAGCTGAGATGTCTGAGAAATCCCTGAGAGGAAGCTTTAAGGTAGAGAAGAGTCCAAGCTGAACCTGAACTACAGTGGAAAGGCCAAGGCTCAGTCCACAAGAGGGAGAAACATGGTGGAGTCATGGGAAAGCCGCAGTTAAAGTAGAGGGGAAGGCTGTGGAAGAAAAGTGGGTTGAGACTACTCAAAGATGCCTGGAATGCCAGGCTGAGGATTTGGACTTCATCTTTTTTTATTGGTTAGCTGAGTGAGACATTATGAAAAAAGGTTTAGAAAATGGGGCCTGTGGACAAGGCTGAGAAAATGCTGATGTCTATTGTCTATGCTGTGGTCTATACTCCATGGTCTGGGTGGCAAGAGATAGCTCCTTTGTCTTAGATGGTGAGGAGATGAAACAGCACAAGACAAAAGCCAAGACAAGCACTGAATGGACAGGGGTAGCCCAAATGTCAGATACCGCGGGCCACCAGGGCAGCAAGCGCTTGAGTCAGGCTCTGTCTGGGAGCTGCAGGTCCTGGGGGTTGTTAGGCCAAGGATTTCAGCTTAGAAGAGGGAGGGGCAGGAACCAAATTGCTCTGAGTTGAACACAAAGTAGAGTGACGAGAAAATTTATCAGTCTATTTCCCCTTTGATAAATCTTTAGAAGTAATGAGAGTGACCTCAGACACAAGGCAAAGATCTTGCCTCAAGAATTCATGGTTTAGTGCTTGAGGAGGTAGATGAATGTAGAGCAATGGCAGTGGGCGTGGCCCATACTAAGAGGGAGAAGACACTACATTGGTACTTAAGTGTTCAAGCTCTGCACTTGGACAGCTACAGGCTGGATTCCTCACTTTGGAGCTGAGGGGCCTCAGGAAAATTAACTTGGCATCTGTTTCTTCATCTACAAATGGGCATAAGAACTTCTTAAAAAAGTTTTCACCATACGGTGCTTGCTGGAGAGGAGAGAGACAGAGAGCATGAACCTCAGAGGATTGTTGTGAAGCTTAAATGGGATGTTGCTGCCTGGGAAGGACGTAGGCAGAAGCCTGGTACACAGAAAGTATTTAGACACTCACAGGGGTAAGCACAGGATGCTCTGGGTACCCAGAAGAGGCACATGACTCACAGAGTCCAGAGAGCCCAGCAGAGGTCACTTAGTTGCTTACTTGGGAAGTTTTGGGATGGAAAGAGGTAGAGTGTCAAGAAAGAGCAGTGAGGTCGCTCTGTATATAGAAGGTGCCACATAAATGCTAGCTCTCTTCAGTCTGGAAGCAGTGTATGGCCCACATACAGAGCATGCATACCATCTGCAAGAAACAGCTTGCTTCATAAACAATCTCCAGAAGCAAATGATTTGTCAATAGAGCACTTTAAAAGCATCTTTGCAAAGAGGTATTCTTTATTATTCTGCACTTGATCTCACTGTGGGTGACTTACCACTGCTGCATTTCCATAGCACAGAAGACCATCTCCTTCGTAGCCCTCTTGACAAACACAGCTCCAGACACCAGAAGTAAACCGACAGGTTGCCTGACAAAACCAAGAGGAAGGATCTGGTTTGTTTTCCTAAATGAAGCGTTAGACCTGAGTTCCATTCATGAGACAGTAGCCTCCATCCATCTAAGGTGAGAACTGCAAATTCTGGACTAAAAGACAGTAGAAGTAACCCATAAATTCTCTCCTGTTGCACCGAAAGGATCCTGTCTGGATATTTGGTAAGGCTTTCACTTGATCACTAGTCAATTCTTTCTTTTCAGAAGGTCTGCCAGATTTAGCAAATGGAAAATACAGGACACACGGTTCAATCTAAATTTCAGATAAATGATAAATATGTTTTAGTATAAGCTTGTACCAGTGTACTTTGGGGCATACTTATGCTGAAGATTATTTATTGTATATCTGAAATTCAAGTTCAGCTGGGTGTCCTGTGTTTTTCTGGCAACTTTATGTTGGTTTTTATAAGATTTGGAATGGGAAGAAAGTTTCTTTTCTATTCTATTTTTAAAAAAGTTTTCACCATATGGTACTTGGTGGAGAGGAGAGAGACAGAGAGAGATTGTAAGAGGGAAAGTGAGAAATCATCCCCTGGGAAGATGGCCACCCTCCAATCCCTTCTTCTCCATTCTCCTGGGATTTTGGGCATGCATGTTCATGCCCAGCACATGATTATTCTCTCTTTTTTAAAAAAATTATTTATTTATTTATTTAAATTTACATGTTATCACATGTCTTTACAGTATACATTTCTTTTTCCAACATAAATACCATGCATGTCAGTCAGGACAAGGATATTATTATATACATTATCATCAGGAAATAGCTTCTCATTTTTTGTCAATTAAGCATTTTTACCTGTTTTTTCCTTCCCCTTTCCCCTCCCTCTCTTTCATACTACACTTTTATTTTTCCACATTTTATTGATTCACAAAAGATCTTAAAATATGGACAAAGCTAGAATCTAGTGACAAGTGCATTGTAATTTTTTACTGAAACAATTTTTTTTCTCTCTCCATTCCCCTTCTACTAAAGAGAGGTATAAACTAACTTATTTGAAAAAAAATTAGCTTGATTTCAGTTTGTTCTGTGATTTGCACAAGACCCCATAAGAATTCAATTTCTGATACAAGGCAACAGACACTATTGTATCATTGAACTTACGCAAATAACCATTTTGCCACAAAATAACGAAGCTCACAAATATTTTCTAGTTGCAAAGGGGTCAGGAAGGGAGAAAAGTTTATGTTTCAATTAAAAAAAATTCTTTAACAAATTGCTGAACTCTACAACTCAAAAGAAAACAAAAATCCCTAAATCTGGAAGACAAAGGATAGAAGAAAATCAGTAATGTTTTAGAAAAAAGTCATAGAATTCTATTTCACCAGTTCAGTCTCATGTAATCTCTTTTTTGTTGAATTTGAGGTGTTACTCTGGTCTGACCTTTCTGTTAACATTCAACATTATTATTGATATTTCAGAACTTGTTCCTACCATTAAGTTCACTTTTCTCTTGGTCATTGTTCTCTTATTTGTCTGTCTGTCTTTAGTTTCCCTGGTATAGTACTCCCTTCAGAACTTCTCGAGCTAGTCTGATATTGGTAAATTCTTTCAGGTTTTGTTTCTCTGAGAATGCTTTTTTTAAAATCTTTTCCCACATAAAGGATAATCTTGCCCAGATACAGTACTTTTGGTTGTAATTGTTCTCCATTTAACAGTTTGAATATATTTTTCCCATTCTTTCCTTGCTTGCATTGTTTCCAATGAGAGGTCCATTGTTAGCCTGATGGGATATCTTTTAAAAGTAACTTGATGTTATTCTCATGCCAATTTTAGTATCTTATCTCTGTCTGTAGTTTTGGTCAATCTGGCTATGATGTGCCTTGGAGTAGATCTTCTTGGGTTGATTCTATGTGGGGTCCTTTCTATATCTTGGGTCTGGATATTTGAATGCCTCTCTATATTTGGAAAGTTTTCTTCCAGGATTTCATGGAATAGATTATCAATTGTACTTCCTGTCTGTGAATTGTACTTCCTGTCTGTGGAATTCCTATAGCTACACTGGAGGCACTCTGAACAAATCCTTCTACTTAAGTTAATTTGCATGGATTCTGTTACTTGCAACTGAAAGCACTGTGATGAAGGTGTCATCTCCATTGGTTCTGATGTTTGGGTGCTTAAGGGCACTCTTTGGAAAGCATGAACATGACCAGCTCTAATGTCTTTGCCTGCTCTTTCATACTTTAGAAATAAGGCATAACTTATCCTTGATTGGATCCTTTCACCAATAATTTGGGTAAAACTCTGTTATAACATTCAAAATGGGATCCAGTTACCCTTTAAACAATTTGGTTGGTTTAGAGAAGCCAGATGTAGCAAATAAAAATATAGGATTCTCAAGTAAATTTTAATTTTGAGTAAAGGATGAATAATTTTTAGCATAAATGTGTCCATACACTATTTGGCATTTACTTGTATTGAAAGATTGTTATTTATTTGAAATTCAAATTTAACCAGGAATACTGTATTTTATCAGGGAACCCTATGTTGGCTCTTTCAAGCTTTGGAATGGAGTGAAAGTTGCAATAACTACTTGTATGTGTTTAGCAAATCCCTTTCAGGGTCAGAAAGACTTTGTTCATTACTAGGTTCAGATAAGAAATAGCTGAAATAATTTTATCAATTTATCTTTGGTATTAAAAAAAAAGTAACTCACCAGTGGATGACATTTTCCAGTTTGTTCCAAGCATGAAGTTATTGGTTCACAGTCAACCCCATTTCCTCGAAAACCTTTCTTGCATTCACACTCACTCTGTAATTCCAAGGACAGAGGCAAAGGGGATTATTGATAGCACATGTCTTTCATGTCTTGCCCTCATGTTACGCTGAAAAAATCAACCATGGAAATCACAGCTGTTTAGTCTACCTATAAGCCAGCATTAATGCCTTTTGTCTGTTACATTTTGTATTCCAAAGATGCCAGCCTTCACATTCTACATCACATTTTCCAGTATTATAGTGCCTTTATACTTTCTTTTTGAATTCTTTACCCTAGAAGAGCCTGTGGAGGGAGTCTCAGAGAAAATGTGGACCTTAAAGAAAATCACTTTGGGAAAGCTGGACCCTCTACCTAAGAGAAAAAGTTGAACCAAGTCATGAGTTATCCATTTGGTAGAGATGCATGTATAAGGCCATTGATAGCCTATAAGCTACTTTATTCATTTAAGGAAAGTCATCCCCTCTGAGTAGCTGATTTGAGTAAGGCATTACCTCTACATGGATGACTCACAGGCACATGGCTTAGTAGGTGAATTGCACTTTCAAGCAACAAAACAGTGGTACCCCTTCCTCTGTGGAAGTTTAGGGCTCCATCAGAGTATATACTTTGTTCTTTTATGTTTTTTTGAGAGGATTTTGTTATAGGGCTCGTGCGCTCGCCAGAAAGACAGAGAGAGACAGAAAGAAAGTGAGAAATCACCCCCCCCACCCCGGGGGAGGATGGCCACACTGCAGTCCATTGTCCTCCATTCTCCTCTTGGGATCTTGGGCACACACACATGCACCTGACTTGAGTTTAAGCCGCCAGGTCCGGGACTCGAACCGCAGTCGACTACATGGGAGTCCAGTGACATAGCCATTATGCTAACTGCTGGTCTCAGAGTATATACTCTGAATGTCTAAAAGTTGCAAGACAGCTAGTACCAACTGAGGACAATCCAAGACACACTCTATTCTTTTTTCTTTTCTTTCTTTCTTTCTTTCTTTTTTTTTTTTTAAGGTTATAACTAAAAACTGCTGAAGCACTAATTTTATTGAGATTTCATTATAATCTAAATTGAACACAGTAATGTTTTTATAGAAAGTCAATATTTGAATTTCTAATGTAATACCACAAAAAGATCCTTCTCTTCCTCCATTTCCCTCATCAGGATGCTTTTCAAACTTGTCTGCAGAAGGGAAGATAGAGCAGAGAGGAGATGGATACTGTGACAGGTTAAACTGTGCCCCCTTGCTCCCAAATTCACATATTGAAGCCCAGATCCCCAAGTACCCCAGAATGTGGCCTTATTTAAAAATAGGGTTGTTATTATGTAATTAATTAAGCTGTTCTGTGCCACCCAGTTGATGGGTCTTTGAGATGACAGCCCTGGAAAACTAATAGAGACACCAAGAAAGTATTTTTCTTTCCTCAAATGCAGTCCGGCAACTCAAGTGAGTCGAAAACCACTGAAATCATTTCCTGAATACTGGTCCACTCAGAAGACTGCAATGAATGGTTTCCTGATTAGGACTCTGGACACCACATTTTAAAGCTAATTGACCCTAGTAGACTCACAAGCAGTTTCTGAAGTCAGGGAAATCAGAAGGATACATAAAGTAACCTCTAGATGCTGTGGAGAAACTGGACTGCAGGGCTTACTCTGTGAGGACTTTACGACCTTTTTCACTTCGTTTTATCCGTATGCATACTTGGCTGTCGCTTTGCACAAGACCATATTTCTCCAGGGCTGCCTCAGAGGCCTGGCTGTGGTGATCTCTTATTCCCACAACTGAGCCCAGTGGCTGGACCAGAGTCAGGTCCTGGGAAGTGTAAGCTGAAGGAGAGAATGAATGAATGGATCTATGAGCACCTGTTTAATTTTGTCTGTCCAGCATCCACTCTCTCCTTCTGGAACCTGTGCCCCCATCTGCCTTTGGGGCCACTATGATTCCCACTCTCCTAGTCCACAGGATACGATGTGGCTGATTCCTCCACTCCAGTGTGGGGGCACAGGGCCTTGGCCTTCGTTTATCTCTGACTCCACACCTGTGGCCACAGGGCCTGATTCTGTAATTGTGTGCCAGGGCTGGTGGGAGCTTCAAGAAATGAGGACAGACATGACAGCATTCAGTGTGAGCCAATATAAGAATGAACATGGGTGTTTGGAGGGAGTTATCAGAAAAATGCTTTCTATTCTGCTTAACTGAGTGTTGTGACGCTGTAAGCCTGAGGCTGCAGGAGGCCGTTGCTCACCCCAGAAACCTGAGAAGAAACTGGACCAAGAAATAGATTCTGGGGACTAGCAGAAGATGTAATGGTTACGTTGCTGGACTCCCACATAGTTGACTGCGGTTCAACTTAAAACTCACACTAGGATTGTGTGCGTGTGTGTGGACGTCCAAAATCCCAAGAGAAGAATGGAGAAGAAGGGATTGCAGTGTGGCCATCCCCCCTGGAGGGTGATTTCTCACTTTCTATCTCTTTGTCTCTCTGGTGAGTGCACATGCCCTACAACAACAACAAAAATCTCTCTTAAAAAAAAAAAAAGAAATAGATTCTGTATGTTGTTTTTTGAGCCCTGAGTCACATTGTGTCTGCAGCTAGATCTGCTAACAGATGTTATCATGATGTGAGCCAAAACATTCCCTTTTCTTTTTGAATCAGTTTGAATTGGATTTGCTTCTTTTTAGAAAATTGTGATAAACTATACATGACCATGATTACTTTCTGTGTGATGTAAGAAGATTAGCCTCACTGTGCCTCAATTTCCTCTTCCATACTATGAGATTATTCTATCTTGTTATAGGTTTGTTTGATGAAATGGTACACACTTTATCAGCCTCCATACAAATGGTAAAAAATGATAAAAAGATGATATAAATGATAAAAAACCTACAGGAAGTTCTAGCCAAAGTACTCTGTGGCTAGAGAAAAAGTTACTGCAGGAATTTGGACTCCTCTTTGCTTGCTTACCAAGTCCAACCTACCTGCCCAGGGCCTACGTACAAACAAGTTGCATTGTCGTGGCAGCCCCCAGCACTGGGCAGCAGGCAGTTGTTAATCTCCTTGCAGTCTCTCCCGTTCCCTGTCCATCCTGGCTGGCACACACAGGTGTGGGTCCCTGTGCCAGTTTTAATGCATTCTGCCTGCAGGAAGAAAAGAAAAAACAAAATCTCTCAAACCCCAGTCCAGCCATATGATTCCAAAAGTAAGAAAGGATTTCCAGAGGTATGTTCTAGAAATGCAAATTTGCATTGAGTGCCGTGAAAATAATCAAAATGCTTATTCACATTGAGATCAATGAAAGGTTAGATGATTTAAAGAGCAATATTGCTTGGAGCTGGTCAGCTAAGGGCCATCACCACGATATGTTATTAGGTTATTTATTAAGCCAAGGGACTGCTTTATTGTTTTATAGGTGTAAACGGTCATCTTGCAGAAGGTACAGTAGTCCCTCTTATCTGTAGGGGGTACATTCCAAGACCCCCTATGGATACCTGAAACCATGGCTAGTACTAAACCCTATAGACGCTGCTTTTCTCTGTATTACATATCTCTGATAACACTTAGAAAAGAATTATTTATTTAATTTTATTTATTATTATTATTTTTTAATTTGAGAGAGAGAAAGAGAGGGAAAGTGAGAAAACACGCTGCCAGGTTCCGGACCCAAACCATGGTCAGCCATGTGGGAATCCAGCACCTTGGCCACCATGTCACCTGCTGGCTCCTCTAATTTTTAATTTATAAATTAGGCACAGATTAAAATATTAACGATGATAACTCATAATAAAATAGTATAATCGCAATAATATACTGTAATTTCGTCTCTCAAAATATGTCATTGTACTGCACTGAGGGTAATTGAAACCATGGAAGTGAAAATCACAAAGCGGGGGACTGCTGTACTGGTTGACTTCAGACCACCCTGGCTGTGGGTGGTCAGTGTACTGTGGGCGGGTGAGAGAAGCAGTCAGGAAACCAGCTGTTAAAGTCTAGTTGAGGAATGAAGGTGACTAGGGTCAGTGGTGGTGGTGAGAGTCTAAGGGTACTAGTGAAATCAATAGTGGGTTCATTGTAAAAACAATACAGATGGGGCCAGCAGGAGGCACGGTGGCAGGGGGTGTTGGACTCCCACATGGGCGACTGTGGTTAGAGTCCTGGACCTGGAAGATTGCTTTCTCACTGTCCCTCTCTCTCACTCTATCCCTCTCTGGTCAAATTAAAATAAATAGGGACCAGCAGTTAGCGTAATGGCTATGTCGCTGAACTCCCATGTAGCTGACCCAGTGGCTTAAACTCATGCCGGGTGCGTGTGCATGCATGCCCAAGATCCTGAGAGGAGAATGGAGGAGAAGGGATTGCGGTATGGCCATCCCCCCTGGGGAGTGATTTCTCGCTTTCTCTCTGTCTCTTTCTGGCGAGCGCACGCGCCCTATGGCAAAAACCTCTAAAAAAAATTAAATAAAATAATTCTTAAAAAAATAACTTAGGGCAAGTCATCTAACTTACCTGAGCCTTAGTTTCCTAATCAGTAACATGTAAATAACTATGTCTACTTCACTGGGTTGATGGGAACAATAAGAGATCAGGTGCATTAAATTCCCTTATGAACTGTAGAGTTTGAATCACGAGTTTCTACTATTGATCTCAACATCTGATTTCAGGCTTTTTAAAAAAGTTTCTTTTTTTTTTTTTTATGAGAGAGAGGCGACAGGGAGACAAGCCCCTTCAATATAACCTCACACTGCGAGCTTTCCCAGACAGTCAAGACCACAGGTGTGTGCACCTGCTCTTTACAGGTTGACTGGGAGCAGAATCTGTGGTCTTCCATATGGGTCTAGTGTCGTTTGAGTAGCATATTGTCCTTGCACCATCAAGCTGGCATGTGCTGTTTTTATAAAAGCCTAAAGCCCCCTGCATATCTGATTTAGGAAATGGAAGCTCGCAGAAACATCTGGCAGCTCTCTTTAAACTTCAAGATTCAAACTCAAGCTCTTCATGCCTTTTTAAATGCCTTCATGCAAGCTTTCCTAAAAACAAAACAAAATAAAACACCCAAGTAACTTGGAGATAAAGAACAATACTCACATTGGGGCTACAGCCTCCTGGGTTTAATCCTACACAAGGGTCCTTCTCAGAACAGACAGTACCATCCCCTTCGTATCCTGCTTTGCAAACACAGCTGCAAATAAGAGTGCCCAAAATCAACCAAAGAAATGCAAGTGCCCATTACCCTGGGGATGCCCAGCCAGGCAGGGGTGAACCAGTTCTTAGCCAGGTGGCTTGACCTTTGCTCTAGTGGAAAAAGCCATGTTCAAAGGAGGTTACAGATACTCTTGGGGTCTGCAGTCAGTCACACCTAGGTGGGAACTGGGTCCTTCCTGTTAGCAGTCTGTGTGACTCTGCAGACGTCCATTAACAACTGGGAGACTTGTTTCCTCATCTGGAAAATAAGCCTAACACCTCCTGCATAAGGCGTGGGCAAGATTAAGTGAGCAAACTCACATGGTGCATCTAGCTAAGCATTGATCATCATAAAACTCAATATCTGACAGCTTGTCAGCTACTATTGGACTAGAACCTGCTTCTTATTTATTTATTGCTTGCTTGCTTGTCTTCCTGTCTGTCTGCCATGGGGCAGAAGAGAGAGACAGAGAGAGGAGAGAGAGACAGAGAGACAGACAGACAGACAGAAAGGGCCCCCTAAGGGGCATGGCCACACCATAATCTCTTTCCTCCATTTCTCCATCTCATCATGATTTTGGGCACACATGCACACGTGTCTGGCATGTTTTTCAAGCCCCTAGGGTTGGGAGTTGAACCTTGGTCAGCCATGTGTGATCTGGCTCCCTTTGCACAGTGCTTAACTGCTATGCTATGGGGCTGCCCCCCTGCCTCTTTTGAACCCTTTCTGTTCAATGCTAGTTATTACCTTTGGTTCATTAGAGAACAGCTTTGCCCTCTCTTCTATGTGACAACACTTAAAATACTTAAAAAGGATAATCAGGTGAGACTTCTCTCCCCTTCTCTGTTCCCTCAGATAATTTCCCTCCTAAAACACATTCTCAGTTGTCTCCTTCTGTGAGCTGGTAAGTTTCCTCACCCATTACAATTTCAGGTACTCTTCTCAAGATGCTTTTGCTATTATTCAATAAATGAGGCCCATTCATTCATTTACTTGTTCAAACCAATATTTATTAATTGTCCTGTAATAGACATCGGGGACATGGTATGGCTCAATTGTATCCCCATCGTACTGCAAATTGAGTCATATGTACCTCACAAAAATAAAAAAAAAATGCTTTTCATTTATTAAGCTTCCTAGTGAAATTAAATACTTTATATGGTATTTAAATGAAGAAATAGGCCGACCTGTTCTGAAGTGTGTGGTTTATCTAAGGTAATGTCAATATAAGGACATGTAGAATCTGGTTGACAAGAGCTTGGTGGGTGATTTAGAGGTTTTAGGGTATTTCTGGTTATATATGATTTTTGCTTTATGCACTGATGTAGATCCTAACTCCTTACTAACTCCCTAGGAAGAGGTATTTCTGTCATATAGCTGTGGAAATAAAAGACATAGTCTCTGGCCGCACGTAGACTATAGTCTAGTGGGGGAGGCAGACCAGAACAAGTAACAGCTACATAAACACAGGTTAAGAAAATGCTGTAAGAGGGCTGTCACGTGGCATGGTGGTTAAGGGCGCTGGACTCCCACAAGGCCGACTGTGGTTCAAGTTCCAGACCTGGCGGCTTGCTTTCTCACTTTCCCTTTCTCTCTCTTATTCCTCTCTGGTCAAATTAGAACAAACAAATAAATAAATGAGTAAAATAAAATAAAGTTTTAAATAAAATAATTCTTGAAGGAAAATGCTATAAGGAAAGGACTAAGAACGCCAGGTACCTTCTGCGTTCCCTAGGATATTTGAATGGTTACTGCTTTTGAACCAGGTAGTTCCAAAGAATATAATTTCCTCTAAACTTTTTCTCCCCAAATCCACTGCAGATGTTAGACAGTATGGTCATGCATTGCTAACAATGGGAATACATTCTTTTTTTTTTTTTTTTGAGAGGTTTTCGCTATAGGTCACGTGCGCTCGCCAGACAGACAGAGAGAGACATAGAGATAGAAAGCGAGAAATCACCCCCCAGGGGGGATGGTCACGCCGCAATCCCTTCTCCTCCATTCTCCTCTCGGGATCTTAGGCACACACGCACACGCGCCCGGCATGAGTTCTAAGCCACTGGGTCCGGGACGCAAACCGTGGTCAACTACGTGGGAGTCCATTACTCTAACTGCTGGTTCCCGCAATGGAAATGCACTCTGAGAAATGCATTTTTTAGTGAATTTCGTTGTTTGTGACATGACAGAGTATACTTACAGAAACCTACTATATGGCATAGCTTATTATATTATGGGACCATATCCTGTAAGTCTCAGCATTGAAGTTCCTGCAAGATGCCTTTAATAGGGGAGATTTTATAGTCTTACAACGTATAAAGATAGTTTTGGAAAGTTGGTGAACAAGTTTTCATTTTCTTCACATGTGATGATGATAATTTTTTAAAAAGTTTGTCAGAGGGTGCACACACTTGCCTGAGAGAGGCAGAGTAAGAGAGGGAGAGGGAGAAAGCATCCCCGCTACCCCAATGGGGCATGTTCATGCCACAATCCCTTTCCCTCCATTTCTCTGCTTTGTTGGGATTTTTGAGCACACATTCATATGCATTTGGTGTGTTTCTTAAACCACCAGGGCCAGGATTTTAATCATGCAATTGGCCATGTGGGATCCAGCTCCCTTAGCCACCGGGCTACAGGGCCAACCCTGTAATAATTATAGTTTTCATGCTGGAACATCTAACCCTGGTGCTGGGTGCTTTTATAATCAGTTCTTCTAATCTTCACATTTGCTTTGCTAGGCAGGTATCTGTACTCATGAGAAAAGTGGGGCTCAAAGAGGTTAAGTAAATTGCCCAAGCTCACACAGCTGGTAAATTTAAAGCAGAGAATGCTGCAATTGAACCAGCTCAGCTTGAGGTTCTTTCCACAAAAGCCACAGTCAGCTGGAGACCAGGCCTTTGTTTGCTGAGTTTAGATATGAGCTAGTTCCATCTATAGGTAGCATACGGCCTTGTATTGTTCAGGACCTCTCCCTCCCAGGTCTACCTGGCTGTCCCATTGCTGTATTCACAGGTGGCATGGATATGGCAGAACTGTACATAGGGCCCACAGACTGAGGTCTGCTTGTCACAGAATCTCCCAGCGGAGCCGTCTCTGCATGTGCCAGCGAGGCAGGCCCCGTCACTGTCTATTCGGTTATTGCAGGTCCCGTGGATGCATGGACATTCTAAAAGAGAGGGGAGAGAGAGGCTTCAGAATAAGCTTAGTTCTGGGGCACAACGTTCTGGAGGACAGGGATCACTTCCTCTCATGCTCTACTCACTCCTGGCAAAGCAGAGCCTGGGCTGAGCTGGGCCAGGCTCAGGCTGTATCTTAAGGTCTCGACTGCTTCTCAGGGTGCCTGGACAGCCCTTGGAGAGCTTGATTGTCCTGTCCAGGAGAAGAACCAGGTCTCAGGGCTGCTACATTTGTATGCATGTAGAGTGTTGGGAGAGGGTGTGGATTGTGATGCTGTGAAAGAGGTTAAGGAACTTAATTTTCAACTACTTCACGATTGAAGAGTTCAACCTGGAAATTTCTCACCTTTGCATGAAGATATTCTGGAAGAAACAGAAGCGATTTCTCATGCCAGCAGGGCCCTGATGTACGGCTCATGTGCTTGTTTTATACCATCATGGCAAACCCGTGATACCTCTTGGCTAATATTTGGACGCTGACTTTAATCAAGGGACTGGGCCAACATTTCACATATTCCATCTCTTTAGGAGTCACCAGTACCAGCTGAAAGGTACTTTATAGCCTCCAGTTTCCAGAGGTGAAAAATCAGGCCCAGAGAAGGGAAACAAATTGCCTTACTTTGGTAAATTCCCAAGCAGAGACTTGAAGCTGGGCCTTCATAGTCCACATCTATTAGTGAGTGAGATCATTATCTTAGCTGGCATTTCTAGATCTCTGTTAGCATTTTAAACTATAGCTGCTTAATTGCTTTTTAAATTTTTTTTTTTTTTGCTATAGAACACTTACATTCCCTGGAAAGAGACAGAGACAGAGAGAGTGAGAGAGAAAGCACTCCCCAGGGGGAATGGCCATGCTTCAATCCCCTCTTCTCCATTCTCCTTTTGGGACTTTGGGCACGCACATGCGTCTGGTGTGTTTTTCAAGTCACTGGGTCTAGGACTGTGCTATCAGCTGTAAGGGTTCTAATGCCTTAACCTCCAATGCCACCTGCTGGCCCACCTTAATCTACCTTTGATCATGAGCATTTAAATATTGCAACATAAGCCATCCTGTTAGACTCAGGCTTCTATGCACACTGAAGTACAAAGGACACAGAGATTCTTAAAGTCAAGGATTTTGGAACTTGAAATACAATCAGAAATAAAGGGATCTGGGGTTTTGCCCCAGAAGGGACTGATGGGACAGGAATTAATATGGGTGCTTGCAGCAAGAAAGAGAAAACAAACACCAGTGGATGGGGCAGGGCTGAAAAAAAGATCAAGGCTGGATTTAAAAGAAACAAATAACTTTTATGAAACTGAATCTAAGTAGGGCTTAATTTGCAAGGAACAAGACCCCTGCATGCCCTGAGACAGGATGAGACCCATTAGAGCCACAGTCTCACCAAGCCTGCCCTGATGGCCTCAGGTAAATTCCAGTGCCTTCAGGACTTGGAATAACACCTCCCCACCCTTTTTTGGACTCAGAAAGCAAAAAGAATATTAGAATAGGATTTAGCAGTTCTGATCCTTCTGTGCTCTGATCTCCTGTCTATACAATTATCTAATTTTATTTATTATTGTTATTAAAATTTGCTATAGGGCATGTATGCTCACGGGGGGTGGGGTGGGGGGTAGGGAGAGAGAAAACTGCCAGGTCTGGGACTTGAACAACAGTCAGCCACATGGGAATCCAGTACCTTAACTACCACGCCACCTGCTGGCTCCTTCTGTCTATTTTGAGAGGTCATCGTGAAGATCAAATAAGGTAAGAGGGAGAAAGGGTTGTGTGTTTTGTAACTTCTGTGTGGAGATAGTAGTGAGAGTAATGAAAACTGCTGTTTATTGATTACTTGTTAGTGCAGGTTCTGTGCTCCAAGTCCCAAATTTAACTTTTTCCTGCCAATGATCTATGAAGTAGGTGCTAATATTATCTTCATTTGAGAGATGGAAAGACTCAGTCTTTCTCAGGTCATATAGACAGTAAGTTGCAGAGTGGGGATTTTACTTCAGGTTGGTCTGACTCCATAGCAAGCTCTTATCATTCCATTTTACTCTACAAAGTTCTAATTTTACCTTAGAAATATATATATCTAGGGCCAGCAGGTGGCATGGAGGTTAAGGTGCTGGATCCCACATGGATGACTAGACAGTTTGAGTCAGGACTCAGTAAAAATCGCTCTGGGCATATGTGCTTTCATGTCCAAGATCCTGAGAGGAAACTGGAGGAGATGGGATTGTGGTGTGGTCATTTTCCCTGTGGGGTGATTTTATACTTTCTTTCTATCTGTCTCTCTGATGAGCATGCACACCCTACAGCAAAAACTAAAACAAAAACAACTTCCCCCCAAAAAATATATCTAAAAAATATACATATGTATTTAAATATACATAGGATGTCATTTTAAAGAACACTGTGCATTTTTAAAGATTGTAGGTATAACTGCATTGTTGTTAATGTCTATTGTTGTGGAACTTTCTACATGCTCTATAAACTTCATGATATTTTCGTCACTGCACTTAGAATAATGACGACAACCGTATTAGGTAATAAAGTAGTTAGCATATTTGTAGTGCAGACTATGTGCTAGGCATTATTCCAAATCAAGTGCTTTCCATTTGTCATTTGTACTATCCTTACAAGGCAGTTACTGGTATTTTCCTCTCCATTATACAGATGTAGAGATAGAGATCTTGAGAGGTATAGTAACTCGCAATGAAGTCTTACATTTTGCAGATGGAGGAGTTGATGGGAAAGGATTGTTTGAAAGATAGGTAGCTAGTCTGTTTCTTGATACATAACCCATTATCACTTCAGGTATATGGGGAAACTTTGAGAGAATGTTTTTCAAAGTGTGGTCCCCGGACCAGGAGTGTCAGCATGCCCTGAGAACTTGTTAGAAGTGCAGATTCTCAGGCTCACTGATGCCTACAAAATCAGAAACTCTGCTGGGGGTGGAGGGGCCCAGCCTTCTGTCCCATGCTAATTTTAGAACTAGAACTTCAGAAATGCTCTGTGTTAAGGGCATAGCCCCAGCAGAAGGGTCATACGATATCAGGCCTGCACCATCTGTTTGCTGCAGAGCAAGAGGGATCCTTGTTAGGAGTAGGAGGAAGCTCAGAAATGTCACTTACTTTTGTCACATCGAGGTCCATACTTATTAGGATCAGAGCAGAATTGACACTGGGAGCCTTGGAAGCCATCCTCACAAATGCACGTCCCATTGCCGCTGAGGCCATCTGTACACTGGGGACAAAGGCAGAGGGGACCCAGGGGTTTGATTTCAAGGCCCAACTTCTTCGAACTCACATTCAATCCCACTTGAAATGACTCCGGGACTCCACGTGAATAGTGGAGTTGCATTGGTATCAGGTGGGATGTTAAGACAGTGGCAAGTTTGGCAATCCTGAACCAGGATTGGGAGCTTTTTGGGGGGTCACAATGGTGAACCAGGAACCTTCAAACAATGCAACAGCAGCAATAAGACTGGGACCTTCAGAGGAGTGTCTGGCCTTCCTCTCTCTACAGTCTACTTGCTTAGCTTTGTGACTCTTGACTGCAGTGTTTTCTCTTTGGTGGTAAACATATTGGCCTCCCTAGCCCTGGCAGGACCTGATTTACACTGATGGACATACATTCAAGTTGGCCCCTACTGCCTTTCCAACCACTTGACCATGGTCATTAGTATTGGCTTCTTGTTTCTCTCATTTTCATGGTGTTCCCACTTGTGGTTGTATAGTCTTTCTTTTACCTTGAAAAAGCCATATTTTTATCAGACATAGTCTTCATAGATCTAGAAAAGACAATCATAAAATTTATCTGGAATCATAAAGGACTCCGTATTGCCAAAGCAATCCTGCACAAGAAGAGTGAAGTGGGCAGCATCTCACTCCTGACCCAAAAATAAACAAAAAGCTGTGGTAATCAAAACAGCATGGTACTAGCACAGAAACAGACAGGTGGACCAGAATAGAGTCCCCAGAAATAAACCCCCAAACATAAATTCAACTGATTTTTGACAAGGGGTACCAGTCAATCCAGTGGGAAAAGGAAAGTGGTGCTTCAGCAAGTGGTGCTTCAGCAAACTGGATTTCCACCTGCAGAAAGATGAATCTGAACCCTTACCTCTTTCTCACCTTTGACAAAAATCAACTCAAGGTGGATCAAAGATCTAAAACTAAGATCTCAAATCTGCATGGCAAAAGACACAGTAATTAGTGTGAATTGACAGCTCTCAGAATGGGAAAATATTTTTGTAAACTGCGTCAGATAAGAGGCTGATAACCAGAATACACAAGGGGCCCAAGCAGCTGTTCCGAAAAAAAGATGATCAACCCTATTAAAAGATGGGAGAATGAGTTGAAAAAAAAAAAATCACTCTCTAAGGATGACATACGAATAGCCAAAAGGCATATGAAAAAATGCTCGACATCCCTCATTGTAAGGGAAATGCAAATCAAAACAACAAAGAGATGCCACCTAACCCCAGTCAGAATGACTAAAATTAAAAAAACAAAAAATGACAAGTGCTGGTGGGGGTATGGTGAAAGGGGAACTCTCCTACACTGCTGGGGGGAATGTAAATTTATCCAGGCACTGTGGAGAACAATTTGGAGATTCCTCAAAAGTCTACAAATAGAACTACCATATGATCCAGCAATCCCACTCCTTGGTATCTACCTAAAGGACAGACATATTCTTAATTGGAAAAGTGCTTGCACATCGATGTTTATTGCAGCACTATTCACAATTGCTAAAATATGGAACCAATCCAAATGCTCACGAACAGATGAATGGATTGAAAAACTGTGGCACATATACTCTATGGAATACTATTCAGTCATAAAAAATAACAAAACCCTGGCTTTTGACAGAAAGTGGAAGAATATGGAAGATTTACTGCTGAGTGAAGCAATCCAGGCTATGAAGGAGGGACATTGTATGTCCCCACTTAATATATACTGAGTGTCTGCACTCTGTGACTGAAACTGGTTGACTAAAGGATATAGAAACATAGTAAATGAATGTAAATACCAGATAGAGTGTGTGTGAAAGAGTAGGGTCTGAGGAATGACATTTAGAAAAAAAAATTGAGAGGCAAAGCATTAATGGGACAAAGAAATGTGGTATTATCTGTTGAAGATATTTTATAGTTTTATCAACTGGACTAGGGAGAAATGTTCATATGCCGAAATACTCACTTTGTAAGCAAAATAATGTGATTGAATGTATAAAAGAAAATGAAATAAAAAATGTAAATAAAAAAAGAAAAAGCCATATTTTAGATGTAGATTTGCTAAATGGGCAGATCTGTGATTTTGTGATATGAATCATAGCTTCTTGTGCTTTTGTTCAGCTTTGGTCTCCAAGATAGATGGATTATGTTTTGGCCTTTCTATTTCACCAGGTTTCATGATAAATTAAAAAAAAATAAAGCTATCACTGGGCAGCCAAATCTCTCTCTCTCTCTCTCTTTCTCATCATCTATCTATCTATTTTCAAGCAGCGAAAAATCTTAGTCTAGGAAGGACTCTTGGAAATCAATGTAGTATTAACCCTGAAAATTCCCATAGGAGGAAGTTAAGGTCCAGAGAGTTGTGCTGAGTTATTCACGGTCTGGCAGTCGGCCATAGAAAAGCAGAGACTAGAAGAGATATCACGGGCTCCCCCCTTCTCTACCCAAGGTCTGGCAGTCGTTCATAGAAAATTCAAGGAGATGTCATGGGATTCCTCCTTTCACACCCTCCTATACCCAGGTCAAGATTCTTTCTATTGCAGACATTTTCTGTTCCCTTGGTAACTGGTATGTTTATTTTACTTCTTGGGAATGGTGTCTTGTATCACTGTTTTTTTTTTTTGTTTTTTTTTTGTTTTTTTTTTTAAGCAGTGTTAAAATTGTTTGATTTGACTTAAGAAAAGTCAGCCTTCAGCATTCACAAAGAAGTGTTCACCAGGGACTGTCTTCTCACCTGTCCATTTCCTGAGCATGGATTCAGGAAGCCTCCCGGACACTGGTTGCAGTCAGGCCCGTAGAAGCCTTTGCAGCACTGTGGTATCTAAAAACAATGCACACCCCATGCAGAGCACCAGTTCCATTAAAGAGACATATTTTAATTTCCATGATTATAATATACAATATCAGCCCTTCCTCATAAGCTCGCCTTCTCTGGTGCAGATGATGGCATGGCTAGTGCTCAGTCATCTGGTCACCACAAATCTCCCGAGCATCTGCTGTGGTGCAAACCTGGCTCTAATACTTCATCAAGACAGATGAAGGCTTGTGCTCAAGGAGCCTGTTTTCTAGTCAGGAAAGATCAATACAGAAATTACAAAAACAAATAAAGAAGATCACTTCAGTAAATGGTAAGGGCTGAGAAAATGAATTACAATTAAGTGGTGGCAATTTAGGCCAAAAGCTGGGGGCATTGGAGGGACTTACTGTGGATTGGGTGGTGACAGAGAAGGTGAAATTACACAAAGATTTGAAAAATGAGCCAGCTCCTAGAGAACCTGGTAGCACATTTTGAGGAAGGGAATGGCAGGTGTGCATGCATGGAGGCAGGAATGAGGGTACGAGTATGTATGTGTGTTAAAAATGTGGACTTTGTGTTAAGAGGGATAGAGAAAGGAGAGTCCAACAAAAAAAGGGATGTCCTGGCTGCCATATAGAAAACCCACCCTTTGATTCTTCTACAGGAAGACATTGCCAAGGACCCATAGACCATCTGTGACCATGCAGACCTTGGGGCTCAAGGTGTGGCCCTCGAGCTGTCTAGCCCTTGGTTGCTTGAACAGGGCTCAGTCACACACTCCTCACCTTCACAGTGGCATTACAGTATCGTGCACAACCACTCTTCAGGCTCCTTATTCTGCCAGTGTAGACACATCTGTGTGTGAAGAGTGCCTGAAAGAAAGCCAATGAGGAAGAGCACTGTATCCTGCATTCAGCGTCCTCTGGACATCGCACAACGCTCACATCAGCTGCCACTCTACTTCCACGTCACCACCTACACTGGCAAAGAGCACCAGACCATGCCAGCACACCTGGGTCCAAGTTGGAGCCTGCTCACTCTCTCAAAGCTGCTTCCTTGGTGGTAGAATACAGCCAGGGTTTACACAGTCCATGGCACAAGTACATCTGTACCCCTCTCATGCCATGGCAGACATTGCTGATTCATCAGGAACACTGTCCTATCCATTTTGGATGTGATCTGGCTTCCTCTTCCAATCTATAGTCAGCCTTAAGCTCTTCTTTTTAATTTTGATTTTAAATTCTCAGAGGAGTGCATGTGCTCAACAGAAAGAGAGGGGGACTGAATATCACCCACAGGGGTACAGTTATGCTGCATTCCACTTTCCTCCATTCCTCTCTTCCATCAGGATTTTGAGCATGTACATATATGTGCCCAACATGTTCTTTAATTTGCCAGGGCCAAGATTTGAACTACGATCAGCCATGTGGGAGCCACCTCCCTTAACTACAAGGCCACAGGGCCAGACCAAACTCCTCTTATATAGACATTTTGGAACCAGTTAGGAGTTTATCTCTACTTTGTGGAAAGATCCACCAAATGGAACAACAATAGTCTGAGTTTTTGTCTTAGAAGTGGGGAGCATAGTTAAATGCATCTTTCTGGCCCAGGTGGTGGAACAAATGGGAGGGCATTGCTGCACAGTGCATGGGAAGTCTGGGCTCAGCTCCCAGCCCTACCTCAGCAGGCTGTCCAAGTGCTGTGCACCTGTGTGCCTAGAAGGCTGGAGCAGGAAGGATCATGATGTGGTCAGATACCATCAAAAATCTCTCTCTCATCTTTCTCTGCTCCTCCTGTCCATTCTCACTCACTCTCATTAAAAAAAAAAATGTATGCTTCCTTTCTTTAACCTGGTGCCCACTCGTAATTATCTAGAACTATCATTTACTGAGAACTCAGTACAGGCCAAACACATTGCACATATGAGTTCTTCAATATGCAATTCCGTATGGATGGTTTTCATGACTTTATTATAGACAAAGAAACTGGGGCCCAAACAGGTGAAAGCATTTTTTCCCTAAGTAACACTACTAGTACGTTTCATGTCCAGAGAACTGGGTCTTACCCTCTTCTAACTTTGGGATCACTGGCAAATCACACATTCTCTGTAGACCTCAGCAGCCTAATCTGTGAAATGGAACAATAGTGTTGATTTTAAATTCTGTCATAAGAATTTAGGTTTGGGATCAGCAGATGGCATAATGGTTATGTCACTGAACTCCCACATAGTTAAACCACGGTTCCAGTCTTGGACCTGGTGGCTTAAAACTCATGTTGGGCATGTGTATGTACGTGCCCAAAATCCCAAGAGGAGAATGGAGGAGAAGGGATTGCGGTGTGGCCATTCCCCTTGGGAGGTGATGTCTTGCTGTCTGTCTCTGTCTCTCTCTGCCTTTCCAGAGAGGGCATGCAACCTACAGCAAAAATCTCTCTAAAGAAAAGAAAGAAAATTTTGTTTCTGGCTCCAAATTGTATCAGATAAACTTTTGTCAAGCTCACCTCATTTTAGGCTCTTGTTCAAGAGGAGAGCAGTGATACCTTCATAGGCCCTAGACTCCTAAAATCTGGACTGGTCTTACAGCATAGAAATTAAGACCTGTGCATAAGGAGCTGGATCCCACATGACTGACTGACTCCCAGGCCCAGTCACTGTATGCCCCAAACACTGACAGAGAAATGGAGGCAAAAAAATTGTGGTGTGACTACACTCCAATGGAGGGTACTTTCTTTCTCCTCTTTCTCTCTCATGCACATGCACATACCCTCTGATGTATTTTTTTTTTAAGACCATAGATTAGTTTATTTTTAACACTCATATCATGCCATGAATTCATAGGGAATAGGTTCCAGTAGCTCAGGCTCCTTTCCATTGGTTCTCACAAAGTGTGCTTCTCTGGGTGGAGCAGGCTGGCGCTTTAGTTGAACCCAGGTACCTTTCTCTTTGGCTTCCTTCTTTTTCTGGTCATTTTCCTTCACATGTTTTAGGACACTATCTCTGCTCTTAGAACACTTAATATAATACACACATTAATTCTCTTGGCAAGAATCTTGCCCTTAACTTGTTCACAACAGTGCCAACAGCATGCTGGATGACATTGTAGACTCTTCCAGTTTTGCCATGGTAACATTTGTGGGGCATTCCTTTTTGAACAGTACTCATTCCCTTAATGTCTACAATATCACCTTTCTTGTAGATTCCCATATACTTTGCCAAAGGAACCACTCCACGTTTTCTAAAAGGCCTAGAGAACAT